AGGAGAGATGCCTAAGCAGCAAGACTCGTGCACAATAAGCAACTCTATAAGTAAAAAGAGAAAACAGTCAACAGTCAACTGCACCTTATAACCTTTAACAGAGCCCTTAAACATATAACAAGAATAAACAAGAGTTATAGCTCTCAGAACCCAAACATATTCGCAATAGAGTCATGGGTCGCAACCCTGTAATCAACACGCAGAGAACAGAAGAGCACCTCAATGATCATCCTGTGAACACCATGTGTACTACAATAAGGTAGATTCCAAGGGATACACATTAGGAAAAGTGGACAAAAAGCACCCTGACTAAGATTACACCAAAGCTTCAGCCCCTGGTTAAGAACTGCACAGGCTTTCCAGTTTCCAAACCTCTCTGAGCTTCATGGAAGGAAAAACCGAAAAGGAAGGATAAGAGAGAGCAGAGATAGTGGATGTCTGATTAGTATTGGTTTGATTTCATCTTTAGACCACATATCAGTTGACAAAATTAAAGACCTAATAAAGCATGGCCACCAGAGGAACATTACCTGCTATGACTGCAGCTAGCATACAGTTAAAGAAAAGTAAAATTTTCTAATACAGATTCCTCAAAAAAAAAATATTCCCTAATAAAGAAAAAGCTATGGGGAAACATGGTAGACAAACTTAGAAGAAAGGTAAAACAGCGGCAAATCCAACCAAAGCAGAAATACCAGTAGTTTACATGAATATAAAGCTCCACTTACACAGGCCAAAGGTTTAAGACAGATCATTGACATAAGCAGCCACCTTCGATGCTTTGACCACACAGCTGGACAAAGAGAATGCATCCCACGCTGTCCATTGATCAATAGAGACATAAGTATATTAACGTAATTACTGTGCACACAAAAAAAGTTAAAATGAGTCTAGTTAAGCGGGGGAAGAAATCATTCTATTTAATAAGAGACTAGAATCATCCTGAGAATTGACCTCTACAACATCAACACTACAGGCAATCTAAAATCTTACTGTTAATGTCTGCATCACCAGTATGAGAAATTTCTAAGTGGAATAGACCATAAAGACATTACCCATCCCAACTCCAAATGCGCCTTCATTTTCATGCTGCAACACCAACTAATTTTATGTTCTCTTCAACGCAAAAGGAGGAGCAGTGACAAAACAGTAACCAAATATAAAAGTACTTCACAGGAAGCTTCCATTTGAATCTGAATTTCAAATGAATGATCAATTCATTTACAACCGTGTAATTATTAGAGAAGCTATATTCATATTGCTACCCTACTGCTTCCCAGCCAATCAATTGAGACATCGGATTCAACAATTACACGCAACACAAACTACACTATCATGAATAACTAATTTGTGTCTGTCTAGCAAAACAAGCTACAATACAACCAGAATGATCATCCGCTTTCCCTCAGGTTCCCAAAAGTACTGAAAGACTTCTAATGCAAACAATCTTCAAAAGTTGCAGTTTGCATACCTTCCTATCATAGCCATACCAAAGAAGGTGTTGCTTAGACAAGTGAACTGGCAGAAGTAATGTTGAATCACGGACAAAAAGCACTGGTCCAAGCTGGACAAGGAACAGGGAAGAATTTTCATTTCCTGATGTGGAACTGCCTTGTGATGCCTCAACTCTCCATAAATCTCCTCTGGCAACCACAGAACTTTCTACATTTCTGGTCCTACTTTCATACGTTGATGAAACATTGATCGTACCCTGCACTTGGAGATCAAGGTAGTAAGAACTCAAAACTCATAATAAAGGAACATAAATCACAACATCTTTCCCCATCACATGTGATCCTACACAAGTTTAGAGCAAGTATCCTTCACAACTGGCTTCAAAGCCCCAATCTTATAAAAGGGGAAGGAATGGCGAAAAAGGAGGGTATACATGAAATACTACTTATTTAAGAAAAGGAATTTAGCGATTTAATAAACTAGCAAGTAAAACTGAATAAGAAACTTAAGACTGCATTTTTTCATCTCAATCAAAATTTTAAATTGGTTTTTAAACTCAAGTGCTTCTTTTTGAAATGGTAACAGATTTTATTGATATATAATTCTCAGCGACAAGATAGTACTGGAGAAAAGGTCCCTAGTTACAAGACTTCCAAGAAATTTATTTTACTTGATATAAACTCAAGTGCTTCTTACTTCAACTATTTCACTTAATTATAGTATTTCAATTAACTTTGTTCACATAATTGTTTTTTTAAACTATAGTTTTTAACTATTTCATTGAGCCCATTCTTTAATTATGCTTTGAGCTTATCCTACCAGATCGACAATACTGAACATTTTCTTGGGAGGGGAGTGTGTAAATGAATGACTATTATCTATATTATTATAAAAGCAAGAATATAATTTTGAAAGACCAAAATAGCCCTAAAATATTGATTGAATTTTATAATATTAATGTACAAAAACGTAAAATTAGTTTATGAGTTGTAACATCCAAATCAAATATGGAATCCAATTCCAAGTCAGAATTACAATCTTTGGTATATAGATACATACAAGTAAAATAAATTTCTGCATTTAATTTTTTTGAAGTTTAACTTTAAGAAATACTAACAGAGAGCCGACCATATGTTTTTCTCATTAATCGCAATAGAAAAAAATTGGGTGATTATATAAGAGTAAAAAGAATTACTTTTGGTTTTTCAAGTAGAAAATAAGACTTGTGGTTTTTCTGATATTCTAAAAATATACTTTACGTAATTACTTTTTAAACTTCTTTCTTTTTTCCTTTATTGAGTAACTTTATTCTAAGATACTGTACAATATATTTTAATGGATAGCTCTATTTGGATAGTATGTAGTCTTAGTGTAGTAAATACTTTAAAATTAAAATAAATACTAGAAGATATTTATTTTAAAATTTAATTAAATTATCTACTCCTATTTTCTCTCCCCTGAAAATTACAATCAGTTATTAACGACAACTCTAACTTAATTGACTACTCATATATTCTCTCCCTTGAAAGATAATTAGCGTGGCTTATACCCTAGGGCTATTTTATCTTTCTTAAAATTTCAATCAGGCATTAATTACAACTTTGATTAAATTCCTCTTACTTTACTCACTTGTCCTACTTATTTTATATCTTTTGAAACTACGTTACTCTTAAATAGACAAAGGTGACCCCTAAAATAGATTTACTAAAAAAACTTGAGGAACTCTTTGTTCAAGAAACCTGCTAAAGTACACAAGTAACCTGGTGATCTTTTTCAACTTCCTTAAAATTAAGAAAATTCATCAATTAATAAATCTTGTTTAATCGCTGTTTTTTTCTCGCAGTTCTGGTTAATATTATATTGTATACTTCAATTTATAAGTAATATCCTATTAATTTGCATGAAAGATAAAGATATGTTCAATTTTAATTCAAAAGCATTGAAGAGGATGAAAGTCAGTGTGGGCCAAGAATATATGTGCGAATTACCAAGGTATAAATTTTCCCTAAAACTTTTCTTGCCCTAGAACTGCTCATGAACTCTTAAAAAAAGTGCAAAATTCATAGATACATGCAAGTCCCTCCCATCCAGTTTATGGATTCACTTGATTTCGAAATAGTTTTTCAAACTACAAAATACTTTTCACACTAAAATAAAACACTCAACAACCGCCAGAAGTTATGATGGCATGACTAATGTCCTTTTATCATTAACTAGAGATCTCAGGTTTGACCTTTCGGAACAAAACTATCTTTGACCAGGTGTTTTACCCCTTAAAGTGGGACATTCCTGAGCACATCTGAATTAGTTCGGACCGAAAACAAGTATTAAATACCGAGCAAAAAATCAAAAAAGTAACATTCAACCGTCAAGATAATCATATATTATGTAAACTGATTTTTATGCTCTTCAAAAGCTAAATTATATATTTCTTCAACAAGATAATTTTCTGTTGGATGAATCGTAATATTTAAAACTTTATCCACTAAAATCTTGAACAAACACTAATAAAGATATAATAAAATAGATTACAAGTAAACAAAATGCTAGGATACACTCCAAGTAATGAACAACCACGTCGATTATTTTAAGGAAAAAAAGAAAAAGGAATGCATATAGGTATATGTGTGATGATCGATATTTGGACACACCGACTATTTCATGCACGAACAAGCATACTCGTGGAAGAGACATAGGATTGGAGTTGAATTAATTACAATTGGAGTTGAATCTAGAGATTAGAATAATGATTAGATGACTTTCTATGTTTATTTTCTTTGTTATTAATGAATTTTAATCTAACTAAATATAATTTTAATGTACTCGGATCATTGAGGCTTCACTAAATTAAAGTAACTCATACAACTTTAATCGAATAATTGTGTGATTCTTGAATGTTTAGTTCCATTTTGTTATTTAATGGTACAAAATATTATTAATGAGTTGGTTTGAATTATATATCAAAATTTTAAGAAATTATTACTGAATTTTATACATTACTTTTAAAACATGTTTGATAATATTTGACATAAAATATTCGTGCATCGCACGAACGTAGAGACTAATTATAAGAAAAGCACTCAAAATTATATTCATAAAAACCAAGCCATATGAGTAAAGGCAAGTGACAATAAATCTTTTTAGACTTACAAGACTCATATGGAAGGTAGTGTTTCAGAAGATTGAAATATGAGTTTTTCTTCTTGGAATATAAAAGCAGTATAATGTGAAAATATAAAAATATTAAATAAAAACCTAGGCCGTCAACCTTTAGTTACTGATGAAGGAAACATCTCCCGCCAATATATTTTTAAAAATAAGCAATACACAAGAAATGACACTTTTGCTTGCCCAACCATGGAATGTTTTGTATTTTATACCTCATTATCTAGTTCTCACATTTTGTGTCCGCCGACTTGTAGACATTTATAAATTTTGTTCAATAAAACTTTTGGCTATATGTGGATAACACATGGGTCATTGGCCACATGCGACAAACTTCCAGCCGTGAGGCGCAAGCAAACCAATAAACACGTAAAAGAGTAATAGAGGCCATAAACTCAAATTAGCAGAGATTATAGTTCACTAGTTCATAAGCTCTAGTTCCAGATTCTTACATATATCTCCACATGACTTATGCAAGTATCAGTTATGCAGAAAAGAACACTTACAATGAAACATTGTATGCTAAGTTTTATGGAGAAAGAAAAAATGAAACCAAACATTCTACTTACAATGTTGAACTTTTATCTGGAGATTATTTTTTCCACTTAACTCCCAACCAAACACCACCTAAGGTTTTGAATTTCGTTTTATCTGTTTTAGATAACCTCTCGATGATTGTTTTAAAATCATTTTAGCATTTATTTAAACTATTTTTGTCCCTTTAAAGTGTTTGTTGATTTACAAGGATTCCTCATTTGGTTAGGACTAGAGCTCCTTAATCCTTCTTTTTTTTTCCAAAATAGAATTGGGAACATCAATATGTAACTATCCACCTGTTATTCTCCATAATATTTTGCCGTTGGTTTCATGTTCTTTTTACAGAACATTCAGGGTTTGCTCTCAGCTCATTTCAAAGGATTTTCCGCGGAGAAACTAGGAAAACATAAAACCCTTCTATAGGTCTTGTGCCTTATCATATTCACTATTAGCACTTAACCTACATGTTCAAAGAGGACCCTGTCACAAACATTTTGGAAAATTGACAACCTAATTATGCGTAAGACACCTTACATTTCCTAATGCTTGTATTCAAAGTACGGAAATCCCGAGATCTTCATTTTCCCACACCATTATAGCATTAGTATCTTCAGAGTGCAAAACCTATGTTACATTTACTAAGGCTTTTACCAATGAACAAATGTATGGAAACTTACATTTTTAAATACCGCAGCAAAAATAGCTTCTAAGTGCAAAAGTCTTTGTTAGGTTCTTGCATCAACCAAATGTTTATAATTGCAAAGCAAGAAATTCATATACGTTACTGGACACGAACATAAACTTTTTGTGTTTCACTAAAATTTACCTGTGATCTGCCAAAATTTTTGAATGCCTTCAAATTAACACCAAAAAACTCTTCTTCGCCCGGCCTATCATCAGCTGAATCCTTTTCAGCATTCCCATATCCCCTAAATCTTTCGGCCAACGACCCCAAATCCTCCTGCAATGTAATACCCAGATCAGCTCTATGGCTATTCGTCCCCGCCATCATAGATACCCCTAACTTCTCGTCTTGCCGAAAAGGCACTGGCAACTTCCTGACAAACTGCTGAACCATTCCATTTAAGCAAGCCCCGAAGTCTGCTCCAGCCTGTCCTATTCTGTTCCCAATATCAAAAATTGATGAAACCCCTGTAATCGCAGAGTTATCAATACCGATCCCAAAATCCCTTGGAATGAAATTCTGACTTGGCAACTCGACATCAAAAAGCTTGGTAGCCTGCCCTAATCTGTTCCCAATATCAAAAATGGCGGAAACCCCTGAAATTGCAGTGTTATCCACAGCTATCCCAAAATCTCTCGGAATGAAACTTTGACTAATCAACTCTACATCAAAAAGCTTGGAACTTTGTGGATCAGGCCACGAAAACGACGGAGGACTAATATGCGACTGAATCAAACCAGTGACTCCTTGAGCAAGCTTATCAGCTAAGTCTTGCCCATGTCTTTGCACCTCTTCCCATGCTTCAAATGATCTCTCCACAGACATCATATCCCAGAAAAAACCTTAAATTTCTTCTGAATATTCAAATTAGCCCTTAAAACTTCACTCTATAGGAAATCAGTAAATCAAACGGTAGTACTACAGTAACAAGCATCAAGTACAACTTAAACAATCACGTTGTTCGCCTGACCCAGCTTACTCATCAAATTCATAAGTAGTAACTTAGATTCCATAAGTGACAGTAAATCTCAGGTTTTACTAACTATCAATAGAAGATTAAAAGAAAGTTACCAGGAACAACGACGCTTCTAGAACTCAGCTTTAGCTCATGAGCTCAAATTGAACCGTTTTCAACCGCGAGATGCTCCCAAATAGTGAAATTTGCAAATTAGGATCCACAAATGACTAAATTAGGGATTCGTAATTTTGAGATTGAAGATAAGGGTACAGGATAGAAGTTGTTAGGGTTTGTAGGAGACAGTTGAAAAACGTAAAGATGAGAAGTATGAGCTCATCAAAGACGTGTGAAAACGGAAAACTGATATTCTTTGAGCTTTGAAGAGAGTAAAATTTAAAAGGCCGTGGCCAGTGGGAAGATATGTTTTGGGGTTTTGGACTTTGGGTGCGCCCACCCTTCACTGTTTAATGCCACGTCGGTGGCGATAACTCCTTGTGGTTCTCAAGATAGAAATTTCCTTTCGAGGTGGGCCTTCTGGGCCCCAAATGTCGTCATCCGGCCTTCTACAGTTTTCTATTGGGCCGTCAGTCAAAAAACGTGGATTCGTAATCCTTTGTATACACACGGCCTGCTTTGTTTTGTTTTTTTTTCGGGAAGGGATATTTTCTTGGGCTTTTTCACTTTTAGCCCGCACCAACTATTTACATTCGATAGCCAAAAATTTCTAAAATTTGTACAATATATATATATATTATTTTGAAAACGGCTATACAGTATCAAAATTATCCTAGTTTTATATATTACCCGCTCTAAATAAGGTTTGCTTACAATTTATGTATAAGGAGAGGTGTCGTGGTGCATGTTATTTGCAAATGACATTGTTCAAATTGACGAGACATAAGGTGGTGTTAATGGTAGGTTAGAGATTTGGAGGTAGACCCTAGAGTCTAAAGGTTTCAAGTTGAGCAGGACCAAGACAGAGTACTTGGAGTGCAAGTTCAATGGGACGACTCAGGTTGTTGAAGGAGAAGTGAGGCTTGATTCTCCAAGGTATCCCTAGGAGAGAGAGTTTTAAATACCTTGGGTCACTTATATAAGGGAATGGAGAGATCAACGAGGAAATTACATATCGTATTGGGGTAGGATGGATGAAATGGAAGCGCGCTTAAGGTATTTTGTATGATAAGAATGTGCCACCTAAACTTAAAAGTAAATTTTATAGAGTGGTGGTTAGACCGACTATGTTATATGGGACTGAGTATTGGCCAATCAACTCCCATTTCCAAAAGATGATGGTGGCTGAAATGAGGATGTTGAGACGGATGTGCAGGCATGCCAGGCTGGATAGAATTAGAAGTGAAGTTATTTAGGATAAGGTGTGTTTGGCCCCTGTGGAGGACAAGATGCATGAGGTGAGACTTAGATGGTTCGGATATGTGAAGAGGAGAGATATAGATGGACCGGTGAAGAGGTGTGAGAGATTGGCCCTGGAGGGCCTAAAGAGAGGTAGAGGTAGGCTGAAAAAGTATTGGGGAGAAGTGATTAGGCAAGATATAGTATTGCTCCATCTTACTGAGGACATGACTAGGGATAGAAAGGTGTGGAGGTTGAGAATAGAGGTAAAGGTTATGATAGGTTGCCTAACGTAGTCCTTGTCTGTAACAGTAGCTTTAGTACATGAGTTAGTGTTATTTATGTATTTTCATATTCCTTGATTTATGTGATTACTTGTTGTTGCTTTCGTTTCAATCTTTTGATTACACTACTCAGTTTTAGTTTTGTATCTTTTTTTTCTTAGGTTTTATAATTGATATTATTGTTGTTGCCCTTCCTTTTATCTTTCCTAAGCTGGGGGTCTTTCAAAAATAACCTCTCTGCCTTCTTGAAGATAGGATTAAGGTCTGCGTATATGCTACCCTCCCTAGACTCTACTTGTGTGATTACACTAGGTCTGTAGTTGTTGTTGTTGTATTAGTATCTTAAATATGGGATTCAGTTACACCCTTTTTCTTTTTTCTCTCCTGCCCTCTTTAACTATTTTCTGCCGCATCTCTCCATGTATAATTCATTATTAGTACCTTAAATTAGGGGATTTAGTTATATCCCTTGATATTTTAGCATTTCAATTGATCATATCTTGTTGTAAGGTATTTAAACCATCTTGGATTATCATTCTTAATATAAATTAGACGGTTAGCTTCAAAGTTTGGATTTTTATTGCATAAAATTTACTGATTGTCATCTTATCTTGATGGTTTTTGTCAATAGTGCAAAGGGTAAAGGGATTGAAGTTTTGCATGGGATTAAATAAATTAAATTGGTCTTGCTAAATAGACTGCGGACATTACTTAATGTTCTACCTTTAGGGTGCATTTGATATGGACATTTTTAGCGGGAAATGTTTTTGTGGAATCATTTTCCAGCGTTTGACTGGATATAAAATTTGGTGATATAGGTAACTTTGCAAGATGTAGGATAAGGTATTGCGTGAGCCAAAAATTATCTTAGTTATGTTTAAACTATATTAGCATTAAGAGGGACTTCAAGGGCTGCCACGTGTCATCAGTATGAATTCAACAAAAAGCATATTCAAGGTCGAAGTGATCTAACAAGAGATGAAGGGCAGGATTGAGGAGTCAACGGAGATGAAAGTCGAGGACAAGCACTCTCCTTAAACAAAGTAATAACGGCTAGTTTTAGGATAAGACTTTAAAGAGAATATTTCAGTAATATTCTCGGTATCTGTATTATTAGGGTTTTGTGGCACATGTTCCCTTATCAATAGAAAAAGGCATAGTTATATGGGACATTAAACACTCACTTGTAAGAGAACACATTGACATTCTCTGGAAATTATTGCTTTATGATACGCATACAAAATATACCTTTTTCTTGGGATCCTTGTCTAACTTTTCTCTCACGATCCAAGGAGAATTCGAATATTCAAAGGCTCATCAATCATTCATTATTGTCAGAAAGAATACAAAAGAATCTCACCCTTTTCGGGTGACTTGACATGTTTTTATTTACTTAAATGTCATTCATTGCTATTTATTGTTACTTAATGCTACCTCTTTCATTTTTGGATCATTGAATATAATAGTGTTGCCACCATTTATTGTTGCTTAGATAATACCTGTATTATCTTACTACAAAATCAGTTAATAAATCTTTTGAATATTAATATTGGCTAAGATTAACTCTATTTTATTAGAAAATCTAATTGTTTAAACCTAGATCTTATTTTTAGGTCAACATGTTTGGCTCTATCTATGGGAATTTCTTAGCTAATCTTTTAGTTTCCATTAGATCTATAACTCACGTGACTTGCTAACCTAATGAGACACAAAGTTTTTCTCCTCTCTGCACGTATAGAAATTTCCATGGCAGGTAACAGAGGAAACAGAACTAGGGCGGCAATTAATGTCCCCAGTAACCTCATGAACAATATCAACGAGAGCTATGAAACACTGGGCGACGATGTGATACGCTCTGCCTCCCCGGGTACGAGAGGTCGCCTCCCCCTCATTGTAGCACAACAAAACCAAATGGGAAAGGGACTTCTACATCTATGGGACGCCACCTGCCATGAAAAAGCTCCTCGAAGCATGACTAACTAATACCCTAGTAAGCGTGCTTAACAAGCAAGCTCCATGCATGACTACAAAAACCACGAGAGCCCACACGGTACAGCAAGGAGACAAAAAAAAAGATCAACCAGACCCTCCGACTTCAGGTATAACTCACAATATAACTAATAGCGCAGGTGACAATGTCCACACCGTTGTTTTGAAAAGAATGGAAGAAATGGAGAATGAGAACAAAATTCTCAAAGAACAAATGAAATAATACTAGAAATGAGTCGACAAGATACCGGACGCCCCTAAGTTACTGCCGAAAAGGGATGCCGGTAGGTATGTAGAGCAGTCGTAGAGCGAGGAAGCGGCCCCACATACCATACCAAAAACTTTCAAAATGCCAGTGTATCTCATAATATAGGAGAGGACAACCAACCCTGAAGACCATGTGGCTCATTACGTCACTGCCGTAAAGGGCAACGACCTCACCAAAGAACATGTGTCTTACATTTTGCTAAAGAAATTCGGGAAAACCCTCACCGGAGGGGAACTAACATGGTATTCATAGCTGCCAACCAACTCTATAGAAACGTTCGAAGAAATGGTCGACAAGTTCGTGACAGCACATGTCGGGGCCAAGAAAGCCGAAACGAGAGTAAATGATATCTTCACCATCAAGCAACCCCTAGGAAAGGGAATAAGTGGCTTCTTCACCCGATTCAACAGAGCAATGATGACCTTACCAAGTGTGTCTGAAGGGATGGCTGCCACGTCCTAATTTCTCCTATAAGCTGTGATGGCACCCAACGCCGCCGCTAGGCAAGCCAACGGTGAACTGACCATGTGATTACTCTTTTTACTAAGTTTCCAAGTAGTTAAATTCCATTCATTAAGAAATTAAGGAGTAGAAAATTTAATAAAATAAAATGAAGGCAACTGAGTGGGCAAATATAGTGACATAATACTCCAAAACCTTAAAGTCTACCAGTATGTGTGTCAAGACCTAATATCACAAGTGTATGAGCAACTAGTAGAATACACAAAACTCTAACAACTGTCTGAAATAAAGTAGACAAAAAATAGATACGAAAGAGAGACTCCAGGTGCTGCAGAATGGCTCAGGAAGCAGCTCATTACTAGGCCTCGGGGTAATGGGGGTGCGCACCGGTATGACTTCGAGATGCACCTGCCTTAGATCCTGCACGGTTAGTGCAGAAGTGTAGCGTGAGTAGATAAACAGCATGTACTCAGTAAGTATCTAGTCTAACCTCGAAAAAGTAGTGACGATGGGCCGACTTCGACACTTAATAAGAGCTAACAATAAAATACAAAAATTCTAAATAAGCATGGGTTATGTAAACAATAATGATAACTCAATAACAAATAGTGAATAAATAATGCTTTCACTAATAGTAAATTCCAGGTCAATTTCTCTCATTAATAATTATAACCTCTCAAGCTATAAAATAATATAATTATAATTAGGCTCCGAGTACAATTATGCACGATTTATGCCGAGATCGTACGGTCTGATCCAGAATAATATGTACATTGCCGAGGGTCGAGCATTACGAACCATAGATGCATCTATTATACTATCGAGGTGTGCGGCCCGCTCCACAAGAAGAGAGGTGTTACACCCCATGTTTTCATACGTAAAAGTACGTCGTACGTCAATTGATGTAAGCTCAGAAATGAGATCATCCATGAAAGTACATAAAGTAAATTAATCATGTTACCTTGGAGGTTACAAATATTTAAGATTATGAATACCAAGTACCAATAGGGTTTCAAGGTTTAGAAGCTAAACGAATTGAAGAAAATAAGTTTCGTCGAAAGTCGACAAGTTA